TTTAGGCCTCCGCCGCCATGTGCAAAAAAAAAAAAAAAAAAAAGTTTCAATCAATCAGTCAATTTCAATTTCTCGCGGGGAAAAAAAGATCTCGCGAAGTTGGAATTGATTGATTGAACTTTTTAATCCCACCCAGTCTGCCGTTACCACTGCAGCCATGCCCACCCAATGGGCTACACCCACCCGGCACCCGACGATGCATAAATGGGTTTTGGGTTGCAGTTTGGGCACTCGGTCTCTAAAAGGTTCGCCATCACTCTATCTGGATGATCCAACTGGCTATGAACAATATTCTAGAGAGAGAGGAAAGTGAAACTTTTCAGCATTATAAGATGTTTGGAGAAAATGAAGCATCAGTGCCAACAGAAGAACTTAACCCAAACATGAGATCATTGCAGTGGATATATGATTTGGAGCTGCTTTAGAACCTCAGCATTTGGATAGCTTGCAATCTTTGAGAGGACAATGGATTGTATCAGCAAATTCTACAGAACAATGTCAAGATACTGTATCCACCCGTGAGCTGAAGTTTAATCTGAGTGATGACAGCATGACAACAATTTTAAACAATGAAGGAAATCTACAAGAGTATGACTAAAGTATAACATATTTTGTAATGGTTAAGTCAAAACATTGATCTTAACCCAGTTAAAATTGCAACATGACTCAGTGAGTAGTTCAGTGTGTTGCAGCAATTCTGTATAAAAGAATGGGCCAAAATATCTCCAAGCTGGTGCTCAATAGATAGAAAAATAATTGTTTGAAATAACTCCTGCTAAAGGAGACACAAGAAGTTACTCAATCTATTCACATATTTTTTCTCACAAACTTTTATTACTCTTTATATGTCCTTTACTCACTAAATACGTCTCAATGAAGATATTTTAGATTCATATGTTGATTAAAGAAAATAGTGATTGTTGTCTACAGGTGAATTCTAGTTTAAGATATACAGCCGTATTTTTAAATTATCCATTGTTACTTTGGTGAGTCATCCTTATAAATAATCATAGTTAACCTATTTCAATAACATTTATTAAGAGATTTCCATATATTATTCAGAACATGGCAAACATAATTTTATGACTAAATGACTAAAAAGTTGTGTTTTTCAATTTAATGTGATGCTTTGTGTAATTGTTATTAACTTCAAACTGTTCAATTAACAAATGTTAATTATTAAATTTTCACTATTTAATAATAAATTCTTTGATAGCCAGACTGAAAACCTCATCTTTGTTCTAATTTTTGGAGAGAGAGTCAGAGTACATATGATAAAATTTATTCATTTATTTCACAAAGTATTTGCAAAAATTCATAATTAAAAAGTAGAAGCGGTATATAAAGTAGTTAGAAAAGTGGTCAATGGAAAAATACATATATTTTCATAGGAAAAATAAATTTCATTCCAGTTTTGAAAATATTGATGTAATTATTAATATATTGATCTCAGTGACCTGATGAATCTGTTGTTTCATTAAATACGATTACAGGTAGTTCTTACAACCTTTCATTTAGTGATTATTTGAAGTTACAACAGCACTGAAAACAATGACTTATAGTTGTAGCACATAGACTTATATATCACTTTACAGTGCTTTACAGCCCTAAGTGGTTTAGAGGCAGCATATTGCCCCCAATAATCTGAGTCCTCATTTTACCGACCTTGGAAGGATGGAAGGTTGAGTCAATGTTGAGCTGGTGAGGATCAAACTGCTAGCCTGCAATACTGCATTCTAACCACTGCGCCACCAAGGCTGTCTTATGGCCGTTTTTCAACACGGTCATTGCAGAATCCCCATGGTCATGCGATCAAAATTCAGATGTTTGGCAAATGGCTCCTATTTATGATTGCAGTGTCCTGGGCTTATGTGGATCACCTTTTGCAAGCTTCTGACAAGCAAAGTCAATGGGGAAGCCAGATTCTGTTTATAATCATGTTACTAACTTAATAACAGCAGTGATTTACTTTATAACTATGGCAAGTAAAGTCATAAAATGGGGCAAAACTCACTTAACTGTCTTGCTTAGCAATAGAAATTTAGGGCTCAGTTGTCATAAGTTGAGGGCTACATCTATAACTTTAAACTTAAGCACACTGGAAAACACAGAAAACAAAAAGCTATTTAGAAAAGTAGTAAAAGCTTATTACTATGCTGAATAAATTGTTGAAAGTGTTGTAGTGCTGTGTTATCTTGTTCTGCCATGCTGGATCAACCCAGCATCTGTAAGGCTGGAATATTCATTTTTAGCAGTTAATAACTGCTATAGCATTAACCCCTTTTGACTGTAAATTCTGCAATTGTTTAGAAGCACCTTTCAAAATGAAAGCAAAACACAAGCAGAGGGGAAGTAATATCATTCAGATTCATGGGCTGTTCTCCCTTGCCGAACTTATGGCTTTTCTAGAGACTATTTTCTAACTTAGGTTTTTGTTTCCCACATCTCTCCGGGTGCAACGGAACACTAGTTTATTAGCCTATCTTTGCAATAGTGAATAGAAATTGAAGTTCAGATTTTTGGTGAAAAGCCTCTAATATGAACGCAACACTATTTATGGAGCTGATGTGAAACAGTCTGTAGTTACTCAGAAACTGGATTAAATAATACCGTTATAATAAATATGCTGCCCGAGCAAAACCTGCATCTTAATTGATTTCCTGTGATTTTCTTAACAAGGCTCAATACTTTTGAGTCAGTGACTGTCCCCCCTTGTATTGTTTCCAAAATGAATATATGTCCTCCAATGTGATGTATGCTTTTTAATAACTTGGGAAAATAATGAAGATAACATAAATCTTAGTATTTTGCACAGGAAGGAATGGTAAATTATTTGGGAGTGCAGATAAAAGGGGCAGATAATCTTATGAGGGGCCTTTGGTTGTTCTCTTGAGCTTGGTTGTTTTCTTGCAGATGTTTCATTACCCAAACTAGGTAACATCATTAGTGCTATTATCACTAGCGCTGATGATGTTACCAAGTTTGGGTAATGAAATGTCTGCTAGAAAACAACCAAGCTCAGCGAGCAACCAAAGGCTCCTCATTTCAATCCCGAGCTACAAATATTCTACTTTATAAAAAATCTTATCCTTGAAATATTTATCCTATTTATATGCAGACATTATAAATACAATAACAATTGGGATCACCACAGCCGGTTTATGCCATAATCTTTCAACTTTGATTTTCAGATCTTGATACTTTGTGATATTCTCCAGTTCTTTGTCTTCTACTCTACTGTGCCTACACTTTCTTCTATTCATTCAAAGTTGAAAAGAAGAAAGTGGGCAATTTGGTGTGTTATGAGCCAAGACTTGATCAGTCTGATTTGAAAATCCCACATTTTCACTCATTTTTGACTATTTTTTCAACTATATGTTCCCACCAAATTTTCATTACTGGTACATGTTCTAGTAATATTGCTTCAGTGAATCATTTTGACAACTATGCTATAATAATAATAATAATAGTAAAGTTGGAAGGGACCTTGGAAGTCATCTAGTCCAACCCCCTGCTTAGGCAGGAAACCCTATACCATTTCAGACAAATGGCTGTCCAGTCTCTTCTTAAATACCTCCGGAGTTGGAGCATTCACCACTTCTGGAGGCAGGTTGTTCCACTGGTTAATTGTTCTAACTGTCAGGCAGTTTCTCCTTAGTTCTAGGTTGCTTCTCTCCTTGCTTAGTTTCCACCCGTTGCTTCTTGTCCTGCCTTCAGGCGCCTTGGAAAATAGCTTGACTCCCTCTTCTTTGTGGCAGCCCCTGAGATATTGGAACACTGCTATCATGTCCCCCCTCGTCCTTCTCTTCATTAAACTAGACATACCCAATTCCAGCAACCGTTCCTTATATGCTTTAGCCTCCAGTCCCCTAATCATCTTTGTTGCTCTTCTCTGTACTCTTTCTAGAGTCTCAACATCTTTTTTACATCGCAGTGACCAAAACTGGATGCAGTATTCCAAGTGTGGCCTTACCAAGGCATTGTAAAGTGGTATTAACACTTCACGTGATCTTGATTCTATCCTCTGTTAATGCAGCCTAGCATTGTGTTGGCCTTTTTGGCAGCTGCAGCACACTGCTGGCTCATATTTAGGTGATTGTCCACTAGGACTCCGAGGTCCCTCTCATAGTTACTACTATTGAGCAAGGTACCTCCTATACTATACCTGTGCATTTGGTTTTTCTTGCCTAAATGTAGAACCTTGCTTTTTTCACCATTGAATTTCATTTTGTTAGTTAGTGCCCAGTGTTCAAGTCTGTCCAGATCCTTCTGTATCTTAAGCCTGTCTTCTGGAGTGATGGCTATTCCTGCCAGCTTGGTGTCGTCTGCAAATTTGATGAGTTCCCCATCTATCCCCTTGTCCAAATCTTTGATATAGATATTGAAGAGCACTGGGCCCAGAACAGAGCACTGGGGCACCCCACTACACACTTCCCTCCATGTAGATGCGGTTCCATTGAGGACCACACGCTGAGTATGGCCAGTCAGCCAGCTACGGATCCATCTGGTAGTGGTGCTTTCTACCCCACATTTTTCTATCTTGTCAAGTAGTAGGTTGTGATCTACTTTTTCGTGTATACTTCAGTTGGTGTAATCTTGCATGAGCTGAATGTATTATCTATTATTTCTTTGTCTCCTTCACACACTCTGCACTTTGAATCATATGATCATTTTTCAAATTTGGCAAATCTTTTTCAATTCTATTCACTAGTTCAACTAGCTGGCTCTTGAGTAGTCAAAATCAAGCCTATAGGGTTTTTTTGTTCCTTGTATCATTAATATTAACATCATTACTAATATTCCTTATGATGATTATACAGGAACAGTACAGTAGTTGATGTGAAGCATCTATAGTGAGCATTGCATAATGATTACCAATAAATACAATGTACACTGCAGATCCATTATCTGAAATGAATAAATAAATGCAGTAATCCGTCTTTCCTTACTTTGAAAGTAGTATTTCTCCTTAAAACAATGCAAAATGAGATATCCAAGAATTAAAGTGGCATAAATAATTTTATTCAATTAATATGAAAAAATATATGTTCTACAAAGAATGAGAAACTGGGTGAGTTCAAAGTGATTTATTTGATTTCCCACATAATCACAGTTATAGTTTAACAACAATAAAGTCTGATACTACTTACAAACAAATGCATATTAAAATGAAAGCACTCTTTCCTTTCCAACAGTTACAAAATCTCTTGAATCTCCCTTTACAGAAGCTTCTCGTGAGCATGATGTTTCTTGAAGTCTTTTAACAGTCTGCATTCAATCTAATTCTAACAGTTTAATACTATTCAAAGCTGGGATTTAGTTCCTAGCAGAGACAGGTACTGTATTGTAACCTGTAAAGTGACTGCAGACTTATATTAATACTAATTTACACACTATATACAGTTTAGAGAATTAATTATTCTTCCTACTTGGTCCTGTTTCCACTCCCCTTTTTCCCTCCTTCAAAATTGTATCTTATGATTGGTCATTTTTTCCTTGTATGTACACACTTTTTTTGCAGGCAAGGTGTGATGTGATGATATTTTACAATGGTAACAGCAAAACTCATGCTTAATTGCAGAAAATGCACAGCTGTATATGAAACAGCAAGTCAACATGTAAAGTGTCATTGTTATGTAGCTGCTGACTGCTTTTCAGCTCATTTAAAAACCAAGAAACGAGGTTTCAGCTGCATGCAGTGCTTGATGGAAAATCATCCTACAAGTTATGCTTTTTAAGACTTTTAGCAATACAAGACATTTACATCATAATAGGATAACTTTGGTTTTCTTTACATTGATTTACATTTCATTCTTAATTAAAAGAAATATATAATTAATGGTTGTCCCAGAAAAGATATTTTACAAGGTCCATTTTTTCTTACAGTTTTCACTGAGAGAAAGAGATGTGATGTTCAGTAGTGCTTTATACTGTTTTTAATCAATAAGGAAAACATAATTAATACTTTCCAATATCTACCTTTTAAAAATTTTCTTCAGTAGCATATAAATTGTAATGATTACTTTAGTTTTGCAAAACAAGAAGTCGTTTTTTTTTTTTTTTTTTTACTTTTAAACCTAGAGGTATTTCCCTTCCTTGGATGGTTTGTCTAAATGGCAACAACACTGGATTTTTATGAAATAACATATTGATTGAATGGATGTATTGAATATTTTTTATATTTGTTAATCATCAACATTTGTGATGATTATTTTTTCTGTATAATTATAAAAGATAAAACCTGTATCTAACTAAATGCATATGAATCTAGAAACCTAAAATCTTTCATTGATTTTCCTGGAATATCAAAACAATGAGTATAAAAGATGGATAGCATTTTTAAAATATGCAAATAGATAATACAGATATTAATGCTTGAAATGTAAAATAATGACTATCCAGTCCATTGCTTTTGATATATGCAAATTATACAATGAGCAACACAAAGGAAAAAAATGCCCTATCATATCTTTTCTGGAACAACTTATAAGTTACAATTCAACTTACTATTGGTACAAAGGTTTGAAGAAAAGCTGACATATTTAAATATGTTAACATTTTACTTCAACTAATATCAACAGTAACACTGAAATACTTTGCAAATATACGTTATGGAGAGTGTAGCCTCAATACTACTAACATTAGATGGCATGCATACAGTTGTATTATTCCTTATAAGAAGAAAACCCAAATTTAAATGTGAAGAGATCCTTGGGTTGTGATGTTCCCTCTCAGGTAATCCGCACAATCTAGGACAGCTTGGATAATAACATTATTTTTATTAAAATTTCCTATGAAGTTAAATTAGATGGAGGGAAAACCAAGGACAGGAAAAACTGCTGTGTATTGCATACAAAATAATTGTCAAATTTAAACAGATTGTAAGTGGTTGTTTCTGCTGAATGAAAGTTAACAAAACTACTGAGCTTATTTTTGCTGGTACTCTATATAATCCACATATATTAGAAAATGAGGGAAGAAAACGAGATCAGAAATCACCAGCATAGGAAAGATGTTTCATACGTTATGACTTCTTTCAGAAGCAATAATCAGTTTTTGTTTGGCTTTACCCATCTCTCACTGGAACATTTTTCCTCCTCTTCTTTTAAATCAACATTCAGAATTCTGCTGGTGCAGCTCTGCGGTTCCTTTTGTTTCTGTCTTTTAGATGTAAAGTCGTGACTGAGGTGGCTCAAAATGCTGAAACTACAAAGTATGCTCCGTGTATGATTTTATTTTATTAAAAAAAAATAGGATTTAGGCTTACAAAGAAATATATGGTCTTGCAAATGACTCAGTACAACACATAAGCAACAACAGCACAGTTGGATTTTACAAGATGTCTTGGACTAACTGGACTATGACAGTTCGAGCAGAGACTCAGCCTGCTGAGTGCTGGATAAAACTAACAAATGTGATGAGAAAAATGGTGAGAAAATCCTGCTGCCAGCACATGGCTACATGGAATTACAGTTATAAAAATCTATACTCAATACTAAAATAAACTTTCAAGTTTCTGATTGCTTTCATGTGGAAAAAAAAGTCTGAAGTTTTTATTGATTAAAAACTGAGTATTAAATGGTAAAGAGGCAATGCGGCTGAAAGGAATGGATGTTGGTTATTTCAGGGTCTGAGATGAATGTTCATGCAGCGTATGTAAATACCATCTATGTAAATCTTCATGTGTATTTATTAAAATATACATAAATACAAAACAAATGTAAACTATGTAAGTTCACAGTTATCACAGCCTTTAAAGTGTCTAAGAACTGGAGGAACCAAAATGTAGAGAAAACCTAGAGTAAAGGTTGTCTCATGTTGCTACTGTATAATTACTGCATCTTAACTAGTTTGCTTACCTGAAATAGCAGAGCAGTTATAATACTGAATAAGTATATTATACTAATAGAGTACAAAGCATATTTGATTGCAACAGTTATATGCTATGTTATTTGGCACATTTTGCAAAGATTGCTTAAAGATTTTATTTTTTTAAGTCCATAGAACTTGCTCAATGAGTACTGAAATGCCTGGAATTTGTTCCTTAGTTTTTTGGTCTACACTTCCATTTGCTACTCATCTATTTTACTGCCCTTTATCAGTAAGGGAAATTATGGAAAAGTATATATTGCTAACCTTGTGGACTGAAAAAACTTTGTTCTAAGCATAAATGTTAGCTATGCAGTCTCTCTCTCTCTCTCTCTCTCTCTTTTTCTGTATATATCTATATATCTATATATATATATATATGTCTATATTTATATATTTATATTACATAGAGTTTACTTACGTATTTTCATCAACCATATGAGGTCTACATTTTTTGCCCATTGTAAATTAAAGAGCAAGAATGCCACATTAATTTTATTTCATAGTTTTCCTTTTATTCTGAGTAAGTTATGTTTTCATTACTTGTTAAAAATGGTCATGCGGATGAAAAAAGGTAGCTTAACGTTTTCAGCAAGCAGCATATTTTCAAGGCTACTAGAGAAAAAGGAGGGAAAAGGTCACCACCGAACTGTTAAGACCAGCACTGTGAGGTTAATATGCATTGATCCATTGAGTCCTTAAGGCAAAGGAGTCAATTAAGTTGCTTCTGGTTCAGATCTTTTAAAATAAATTAAAAAAATAACCAGCATTATAGGCTGCTTCTGTTTCCTGTAAGTGCCTTTACATCTAGGCCTAGAGCTACAGCTGTGGCTGGGTGGCTGGCTGGTTTCTAGACTATTGTGCTGATGCCGCTATGCTTGGGCTTCGTGCTGGCTGAAGAAGAAGGGGCTATTGGCTGTGCATGGTGATGGGAAGGATGTGCCAAATGAGGAGGGGGCAAGGGAGGATGGGGAGCGTGGGAATATGGGGTGTGGGAATGTGGCAGGTACGAATGCTGGGCATGAGCTACATGCTGCGAGTGTGGCCCATGATGGTACTGGTGCGGATGCTGGATGTGCTGGGGCGGATGATAGTGATGGTGATGGTGATAAGGAGGTGGGTTCTGCATATGGCAGTACTGAGAGTGGTGGCTGTGCACTTGTGCCTGGGTCTGCCCTTCAGCCGGACCCGGGTGGTGCATGGCAGGAGGATGTGGAGAATGCTGCGGGTGTGACATTATGGGAGGGTGCTGAGGTGGCAGTGGTGGGCCAGATGCTGAATGGCCTTGGGAAGGCTTTCCTCGCTTACTACCAAATAAGGACCCTAGTAGTGAGGAAGAATTAGGCATAGTCTGGTGAGGGCGAGATGGACACTCTCGGGTTGATGTAGCTCTTCGGCGCATATGAGGACTGCTAATGATGGACCCCTAAAAAGAAATTAATAGAAAATAAAAATTAAAAAAATCTTAAAAATATGTGTAAAAGAAAAAGTTCACAATGACCATCATGTTTTCTTTAAAAGCTCATATGGAGAAATAGCTGTATGAATTGCAGGAGAAATCTGATTGTCTCTTTCTTTTTCTGCCAATTTCTTTTTTCAAGTTGTAAGTGGATAATAAATCCTAAGTATGATCCATTAACAAATACTGGTGGCTTTCTTAAAAAAAAGAACCCTGAAATTATTAAATCATAAAAAGTAATCAGTTACCACAAACTGTTTGATTTTGCTTTACATTGTTTATCCTACTAAAAATATAGTCATATTATTTATTTTTCTCTTCAAGGACAAAAATATATACAGTTATGTTGAATTAGCCTGAAGGCAGTTACACATTATTAATAGTCAGATTTCATGGTAAAATTTTCAGTAGAATTATAATTAAAATAGCCTGATTCTCTTTGTAATGTAGAAAATAAGTATTTTCTTGTAAATAGATTGCTTCTATTTGTTTGCAGGTTGATGTGCTGTCTAGTATTTTCAACTATTTATCTTTTAGGTATCCAAATTTCTTGTTAGTCTCTGGATGCTTTTGTTTTCTTTACAGACAATTAACTGCCAATGCTTTGTGTGCTATATTATGTGGACTGCACTCTATTCAGTTTTAACATACATACATACGTACATACATACACATACACACAAATCTGCAGGCTGAATTCAAAGACATGAACAATATATAAATGGTTTGAAGATGAATGAAATCTCATGAAATCCACATTGAATTCACCTGTTTTATTTGTTTTTTTTCCCATGCCCTATCTATGCAATTCCATGATGTCACGACTGCATACATTTCACAATTTAATTAGAAAGTAAGCAATGTGAATGACTAAGCATGAATTCAATATTTTGCGTTAAATAACGAATAGCACAATAAGTGCACTGTGTAACAAAGAACCATCGGGCCTTTACACAAGGACCAGAGTGACAGTGGCAAAAGGGCACATCATATTCATTTAGTCATGCTTGCAGGAACAGAAGGGGATAACAGCAGCTGAAATAAAAAAATGATGCATGATCTAAACAGACCAGAAATAGTGTTGGTTTTTCAAAGGCTAAAACTATAAAGCCTTGGCATGCATTTTATTTGAGGCAGGCAGGTTGTATGTTAGAAGAAAAAAAAGAGCAAAATATGTATATAAAATAAAGGTTTGAAATGCACATCACATCCAGCTAGACATCAGTAACTTCCTACTTACTTCCATATTGCTGTCTAGCGATCCTGCACTGCTGCGTCGCCCACGCTTGCCTGCCCAGGACATGCAATACCATAGATTAGAGACCAAGACAAGACCTGGGGAATCAATAGCCACTTTCCCTAATGCATTGCAGGACTTTTTTCTGGCAGCCTAAAGATTAATTCTGCATGTTGTGATAGCCCAGGAATTGTTATAGAAGTACACAGTTAAAATTAAACTCTTCGCACGCTGACTCAAAAGCAATTTCTCTATTTTTCAGTGGGCCTTATGCTCAGATAAGAATGTAATTTACACTGCCTGGAAGTCACTGAGAAAATTTCTATTTCTTTTAATGAGGCTGAATCCAGACTTAGTGTAAGCCTATTGGAAGCTATGGTACTTAATTTAATCATTAATAATTTTATGCTCCATGGATTTCAATGATACCTGCTCTAAATATGACCAAGTCGGAACATAGCTCCTGATTTATGACAGAAGAATTAGAAGTTAAAGCCACTAGTTTCACTATAAATTTGTCTTATATGTATTTTTGTGGATATCCATATTTGGGCATTTTAATATATATATTTATAATTATACACATGAACAATAATCTGTGTATGTGTGTGTTATCCTGTAAATGTTTATATAAAATGGCCATACTGGATAGGATTTAATTTTTTAAAAAACAATGGCTATGCATTTCTCAAAATTTATTTAAACATTTTTAGTCACACTCAAGATCTTCAAGTATGGTGACTGCATTTTGACTTACAGATTTGCTACTATTACATGATAATTATCTGAAAGATAATAGATTTCATATAATCACAACAAAGAAAACTAAATTTAATTTTACATACAAAAATAATTAATCCAATGATATGTCCAGATTTGTTTGTTTACTGTCCAGTGCTTATATACTTATATGAATTTACAATGTTTTTTAAAGATGGATGCTTGGATCAGGTACTTCACACTGAAAGTTTGTTGAGTGCCGATTCCTAGCATAAGGAAACTCACTCTCCCCTGGAAAAACACAGATTCCAGGACACCTCTATGGCAATTTTACTTTATATGAAGTGTAACATTACGCCATAATAATGATAATTTATTCAACTTGCATGCCATCCAACTCTCAATGATTCAGAGTGGCTCTAAATTTAAATCAAAAGGAGGTAGATTTAAAATGGGAAGACTCAAGTTAACTATTAGATTTGGGAATGTGCCAGCTGTGGAAACAGCATGGAAATAAACAACAGCCCAACATGCTGTTCAGTAGAAATGTTCAACATTACTTGTTTTGTCCTCGAGAGAAAATATACTTTCTGTCTTAAGAGGCCCTGCCTTATTAAATGTGAATGAAGATTTAGAATAAAAGGGGGTGAGGGCAATTAATTAACGACTTCTTGAGAATTCTAATCATTACAATGGTTATTGTACAGAATGGCTGGCTCAGGAATTCTGAGAGTTGAAGTCCACAAGTCATAAAAGAGCCAAGGTTGTCTACCCCTGGTCTAATAGCCAAACAATAATGTAAGGTGGTTATATAATATCTGCTTCTGTAAGTAGTAGTTAACAAAACACAGAAAGTCAAACTCAAAAGGATAAGAAGGAAGCATTCCACTTCTTACTTTACAAATGTCACAGTGAATTCCACAAGAATGAAATTGAAATTCAATGATACTGAAGAAAAGTTTCAATACAAAAATAGAAAAAAATAGAATAGAAAAAAAAGTAAGATCCTAAATTCTACTGAGTGAATCTCAATAGAAAAAAAGAGTAAGATCCTAAGTTCTGAGATGCTATGCAATACCCTTTATTATTTTAAAGTAAAAGTAAAATAGAATATTATATAAATAGGGTGAATGTAATTTATCATTAGTCAGTTAAAAATATTGGTTTAAAATAAAAATCTGTCATTCAAATGTTACTTTTCACAATAATAAGCTATTTCATATTATTCTGTGTAATGAGTTTCTGGTTTTTTAAAAACAAGTACAGTATGGTATTCATCATTACATTTTTACTTACAAATGTGCAAAGCCTTTCAAAGAAGTGCTTTATATATCACAAGATAGTTCGTACAATGAAAATGTCTTCTTCAGAGAATTAAAGCAGATATTTCTTTTTCCGGGAAGCGAAGTAATAGGTAAAGGAAAGAAGCAAGGCATGTAAGCCCAGAGAAAGATACAGCTGCCTTTCTGGATCTAGGAATCATCCTTTGTAGCACAATCACATGGTACAAAGTATCTCTTTCAAAGGATTTCCACAACCCTGATAAAATATTTGTTAAATTGGGTTTCTTTCAAATAGGCATGGCTCTCCTTAGAAAATCTCCATTCTAGATTATGGTAACTGTAAGACCTATTTCATAGCTCATACAAATCCTAAAGTTAGAACTATGTGGTCTGAATGAAGTTACATGCTGTCCTAAATCAGCTTTATTTATTAAATTTTTATGCCACCCATCTCACTGATGCAGAGACTCTGGGCAGTTTACAATATAACATAATTACTGAATGCACTTTCATATTTTTTTAGGATTTTTTTTAAATGTGTTTAGGATAAAAAGTGTCAGTCCAAACTAATTCCTCTATAATTAGTTCAGGAATATTTTAAGGTGGCATGTTTCAGCTTCTGTTAATAATGTAGTTTTTTATATGATAGCTAAAGTGGTAAACAATATAAAGGTGAGATAAAAGTATGATGATGGAAAATTTGATTAATCTCACAGAGGGTCACTCATGTGTTAAAAATTAATATTTGTGATCCTAGTATAAGTTGTGCAAAGATTTTTCAACTCTTTATTGAATCTAATGATCTACTAATGAGATTCAACTCCGAATGTAAAATAAAATGTTGCAGAACAGAAGCTTCAGGAGTTTAATCACTTTTTTTTACGGTCCAACCTCACTTCCAATTGTTGTTCAACTTTCTATGTCACTAGCCATGCTCACTCCTCACTGAGATATTTGGAGGTGGTTGGGATCTGCAATTTTTATGAGGATGTCTGTAAAAACTATTCTCAGTCCCAGTTCCACAAACTCCTTGATTTATGCCTTGATTTTTAAGCAATGTCTGTTGTTGAAGACATTTTAAAATAACTTCTCAGTATCAATCAGGAATGACTGGTGCAGAAGGAAACTTGCTATCCTTTTAATATTTATCCCCCCCTAACCCTCCTTTTCCAGTTTCCTCAGAATTCTGGGAGTTGAAGCCATTTTAATGTTGCCAGCATTGGCAAACACTAATCAATTGTATTCTCCTTCTTTATCCAGTTTTCATTAGAGTTTTTTTTTATTCCTTTTCTCTTTGGATAATTCAGCAAACTACAGGGTCATTTCAAGTTTGCCCTCTTATGCATGGATAGTGATGTTCCGGGTCACAAGTGAAAGCAAGAAAAATGGAGTCAGAAAGAAGGGATATGATGCTTGTAACCTAAAATATATTTATAGTATGAGGGATATTACTTATTACTATAACAGGCAAAAAGTCTATACTATGATGGAAAACCAAAAGGAATTCTCATTATTCCTATGCCTGAGAAGCTCAGAAACAGTTAATGTGAATGGCAAAGAACAAATAAAATATTAAACACATTATGCAATAGAAAGCAGAAAATCAGATGATTTGTTATAATATACCTCAACAGTTTCATAAAGGGTGCTGTTACTATCAAATTCATCTCCTAGGGGAAACAATCTATTTCTAATTTATATTTTAAAAATCTTACATTTTCATTGTTACATGGAATCCCAAATCTCTTTATATAAACATAATCTATGGAAAGTGCAGTTGAAAAAATCACCTTAATATTGTTAAAAATTACTAATTTATATATTAAATTATATGCCTTTCATCTCACTCAGCAAAGCAAGTATTCAGTAAAGAGGGGGAAATTTCAGAATAAATATATTTTTATGTAAATTCAATATTTTTAAGTTTTCGTCTTCTTTTATTTCATACATATTTTGGGGAGTTACCCTAAATAACAACAAAAATGAAAATAATCATAATTTTACTAGCAATTTAGCAAGTACTGTGAGTCAAAGAATTTTCCAGAAATATAGAAACTGGTAATTTCAGGTCTTTAAATAAGTGGAGGGCTCCAAAAAGACATTAGATCATCTGTCAAATATACTGTAGTAGTTTCTGCATTTAAATTTAAGATTGATATATCTCATGTGTGTTTGTGTGTGTGTGTGTTTGTGGGTATCTACCTTTCTTGTAGGAGAATCAGTGCCAAAACTGATATTTTGGCACAGTTAATTACCTTCTGTGATCCAGTGTTTCTAATTTCTTTTTTCACATTTAAAAAAGATACTTAAACTGGATATTATAGGAAAATTAATACCCATAGTTAATACCCATAGTTCATGTCAATATTAGTAACTACTTGCTCCTAAATTACATCATATGCTATCAAGGAATATGACAACTGAAAAGATGCACTTTATATTATATATTTTCTTTCAGCCTAAAGAACAAGCAATCAATACATTATTGATTTTATATATCTATGTCAATACATAAAATGGGATTTAAGGGCTATGTTTACTGGAGAGTACTCAGAAATCTAACTTAAGTGCTCAGAGCAATTGGATTTAAAGACATCAGAACATCTTACATGTTGAGAGGTTAAAGTATGATATATTTACTATAATAATTCTGTACCGCATGCTAAATGTTAAATAGCATTTGTTGATTTGGAAAAACCAAACTCCAGCCCTGGAAGCCTTGTTGTGGCTTCACTTCAGTCTTCCCCTTGAAGTTAGTAGGGGGAGCTACTGTTGCTTCTTCTGAGTTTCCCAGCATTCAGACTGCTGCTAGAAGCCACAGCTCATACAATGGAAGAAGCATATGATGGCAATCTCCTTCTCTCTCTCTCTCTCATCTCTCTGATGGTGAGAACTTGTAATAGTATGTGGGAATGATCTTGGGAGACAGGAGGAAGAGTCTCAGCCTAGTCATCTGATAAATAAAATTTGAGTCCAAAGGAAAAGGAGTAGCAAAAGTGACTCAGAAGGGACCCTCCCTAATTTTGGGGAAAGTAAAAGTGTGAGACAGGAGGAGTACTTTTGAAACATGCAAAGATAAAGCTGGTGTTCCTGGATGTGCTTCTCATCTGGACTTCTTTGCAAGACTGACATTCCTTTGATTCAGACAATCAGAGCCTCTAGCTTCTGATGCCTGGTAGGCTGGCTCACACTCTAGAAGCCTTTCTCATCTGACCTGACCAGGTGATTTGCTCTATGTGGACCCAAGAAGAAGAAATTGTGGTATCTGCCTGCCTTTATATTCACAACCCCTATTCAACCTTTCCCAGTGAAAGCCTTCAAGCTTTTTTGGAGATAAAGCTTGCAAACAAGGTGCTGGGAAGCAAGGAAGACCATGCCAGCTGTTGGGGGTTGGATGGGGTAAACAGATTAAAGGTATGTAAACTCAGAAAATGAATAAGACGCCATATGTGACCTCCAAGATTAAGGCTACGGCTGAGATCCTTAGCAAGCATAACATTTGGGAATAATTTTGACAAGTTTTCTCTAAAACCTCTCTATAAAAAAAACCCTTTGTTCCAGATGTTATTCACACCTTCTGCATTAAGATTCCAGGAATGAAGCTGATCCATCTAGAAACTGGATTGTCTCTTAAGCCTTTAATCATTTACCAATCTACTTCACATTTTATTTCATTATTTTAGTTCTTTTATTCAAATTAGCAACAGTGAAATTTCCTAATGATTTTTATGCTTGAACTCATTCCTATAACTACAAAAGCCATTTTATTATTGCATAAAAGGCCTGATTCTCTTTCTTGATAACAGCTAAAATAATCTATGTTTAATAGCCCAATTGACTCCATTTGTATTTTCAAATTAACTGCACTGCACAAGCCCAAACATAAAAGTTCCATAATATTAACTTGAAAAATATTAAAGTTCAGCAAACATTAATATATTCATCACTTAAGCCTTTCATCCTGACATCTATGTTTGGCTCTGGAGAACAACTGTCAGTATTGCCTATGCCAGCAGATGGCATGTGCTCTAGGCATATTAACTATTTTGTGATCCTTAAAAATTCATCTTGTTTATTGTAAAGAGGCAAGATGACACTATCTACATGATAATGTCTAAAATAAGAAAATGAGAAGCTCCTATTAGGATGAAATATATTAATTCATAATCCTCTCAGATAATCAATACAACAGTGAAATCCTGTTTCTAAAAATGAATTTGGCCATTCTCATGTGAAAATCAAAAGCCAAAAGTGAAACCATTCTTAAATGAAATTACATAACAATTACTGAGATTTCATCCAAATCATACAAGTACCTTTTAAAGACTTAGTAAATCTGTTTCAGTGAAATTAATATAGTTAAAGGTCCCTGAATTTCCTTCTAAGTTGTTTAAAGTGAATAAAAAACTATGAAACAGAATATAACCTGCAAAGATAAAGAATACATATGCATATATTCTAATGAGCAAATAAATGTTTGTATGTAATGATTCATACTGCATATTAAGATTTATAGATAGAATATTGATTGTATCCCTCTCATCATACATTAAATTCAAAACATCTGTAAAATGAACATCCAATATTTAAGAGCTGCATGTTACTTTATCAAGTAATGAAAACAAGAAACAGGAAAAATATTAATTAAATCATGTATTTATAACGGATATATTTAGTTTGATGATGTGCATGATGTTAAAACGCAGAGCAATACTAGTAGCAACAGTAGGAATCATTCTGTGTCTAATATTATGTACGCATGGCTGAAATGTCCTGCTTGACATGCAAAATGCACCACTGATTTCCAAACGTAATAACAGAGGTATTTATTTAATTCCTGCATTCATAGAAAATGTATATAATCCAAACCAGGTATATAACATATATATATTTCAATATATGTTAAACTGCTATCACAATCCATTAAGCCACAAAGCAGTAAGGCAAAACTGGAGTAACTACTTTGCCATGATGGTTCCCGACCATCATACTGGTAAACAGCAGTACAATATAAACATAAGCCACATTTGACAAAATCTAGAATTGTTTTCTGAGCAATATAATTAAGTAGCATCAATCACACAGGTGTGTCTGATCCGTATTTCTCTATAGAATTTAGCAGGGCTTCACTCAATTTCATTCATCAGTATGCTACATGGATACAAACAATCACAAAAAGCATAAGCAGCAGCCAGTACATAGTAATTTGGGTGGATTTTTTTTTTCTAATGAAAATAATAAATAGAAGAAAGCGAAGATAAAAAGCAAAACTAATTATTCCTTGTAAAAAATATATATTTCCATTTATTCCTCTTTAAAAATATGTATACAAAAACCACCTATAGCAATCTAATATTTTCGAATGCAAAGGAAAAATAGAAAATAAATTTCTATATCATTTTTCCAAATTGATTTCTAGACTTTCATGTTCACAGGTGCATATTTCTAATACTCCAAAATTAATCTAAAAGAGAAGAAATGCAAAGCTTACCTGCTTCAGAAAGATCTCTAAGGGAGCTGCTAAGAGCGCTCCTTTTGAGGCCTTCCCCCGTGGCATAGCTGTCATCCAGGCAGGTCCGGTTCAATGTTCCATTGCCAGACTCTTTTTTCAGGCTAGAGCACTGAGACATGCTTGGTCGCACTACACCTTTCTGTTTCTCTAATTCAGCTGAAAAAAAGGTAAAAAAGAGCTATGATAAATCAAAACCTTCTGTGTACTGTATTCCAGTAGGTCAGAAGTACATTATTTTGGCCACACAAGCAAGTGGAACCTCTAAATTCTGTGCTATTGCTGCTGCTCAATGTAGATTCTATAACTCCCCCCAAAATAAAAACTACACACACACACATATTTATCCCATATCTCCCACATCATGGACATGCTTACTGTTTATTTGTGAATTTTACATTTTACTTTGTTTCTCAATTTTATGATACTTATCTATGATAATAATAAATTTTAACTAGAATAGAATAGAATAGAATAGAATAACAGAGTCCAACCCCCTGCTTAGGCAGGAAACCCTGTACCATTTCAGACAAATGACTGTCCAGTCTCTTCTTAAAGACTTCCAGTGTTGGAGCATTTACAACTTCTGGAGGCAGGCTGTTCCACTGATTAATTGTTCTAACTGTCAGGAAATGTCTCCTTAGTTCTAGGTTGCTTCTCTCTTTGATTAGTTTTCATCCATTGCTTCTTATACTGCCTTCAGGGGCTTTTGGGAATAGCTTGACTCCCTCTTCTTTGTGGCAGCCCCTGAGATATTGAAACACTGCTAACACGTCAGCCCTAGCCCTTCTCTTCATTAAACTAGACATACCAAATTCCAGTAACGGTTCTTTATGTCCCCTAATCATCTTTGTTGCTCTTCTCTGTGCTCTTTCTAGAATCTCAACATCTTTTTTACACTGTGGTGACCAAAACTGGATGCAGTATTTCAAGTGTAGCCTTACCAAGGCATTGTAAAGTGGTATTAACACTTCACGTGATCTTGATTCACATTAACTTCTGTTAATGCAGCCTAGGACTGTGTTGATTTTTTTGGCAGCTGCAGCACACTACTGGCTCATATTTAAGTGATTGTCCACTAGGGCTCCAAGACCCCTCTCACATTTACTAGTACTGAGCGAGGTACCACCTATACCAGGGGTAGGCAACCCAAAACACTCAAAGAGCCACTTGGACCCGTTTCCCACCAAAAACAAAACACCGGGAGCCGCAAAATCCTTTTGATATCTAAAATGAAGATAACACTGCATATATCCTTTTTTACCTTTATTATAGGTGTGTGTGTGTGTGTTTGTGTGGTATATATATGTGTGTGTGTATATATGTATACACACACACACACACACACACATACATACATACATATGTGTACATACATACACATACAGGTTAAAAAAAGGATATATGCAGTGTTATCTTCATTTTAGATGTCAAAAGGGTCTCTCTCTCTCTCTCTCTCTCTCTCTCTCTGTCTCTCTCTCTCCCTCCCTCTCTATCTGCCCTTGGTCTGCCTGCCACTCCTCTTCCCCCACTCTCTTTCTTTCTCTCTCTCTCTTTCCTCTCTCTCTCTCTCTCTCTCTCTCTCTCTCTCTCTCTCTCTCTCTTTCTCTTTCTCTCTCTCTCTCCTATCTGCTGCTCACCTGGCAAGCTTCAAGCTGTTGTCCAACAAGCTCAGGGTAAGCAACCTCGTCTCTTTTATGACTCATGGACTTCAACTCCCAGAATTCCTGAGTCAGCCTAGCTGGGCTAGTTAGCTCTCTCCTGCCCTTCCTGCTTCCTGCTTCCTGCAGAGACGCAGCAAAGGGAGGCGCTCCGTCCAGAAAGCTTTTCAGCTCCTCGGGGAACACTGTGAGTGCAATCTTTTACACACACACACACACATACACACACACACAGAGAGAGAGAGAGAGAGAGAGAGAGAGAGAGAGAGAGAGAGAGAGAGAGAGGGAGGGAGGGAGAGGGAGAGAGAGAGAGAAGGAAGCAGGGAAGCGGAATTGCCTCTCTCTGTCTCTGTCTCTCTCTGCAAAGGCAGAGGAGGCTGGGAGCCACCGGGGAAGGCTCAAAGAGCCGCATGCGGCTCCGGAGCTGCAGGTTGCCGACCTGTGACCTATACTGTACCTGAGCATTTGGTTTTCTTGCCTAAATGTAACTAATCAACTTTTTAACTTTTCAACTTTTACTTTTTAACTAATCAACTTATGTATTGCATTGCAGTTGCTTTGGTCCCATCACTCTTTCTCAGCACAATCTACACCTGGTGAGAAATTGGGGAAGAGTAATGTACTAATATATTACCATTTCTTCCTGAAAGGAAGGCAAATATAAATCTAATAAATAAATACAACTGAAAAAGAAAATTAAACTATTTTAAAACTTGGAGAAATATTGCAACTGCAATCTATCAATTATGTTATACATAACAGGTTTTCTGTACGGTGAGAGAAAGCCCCATTCAGTTCAATGTATGGGAATATTCTGTGTGCTAAAAATGTCATTTCCACTTGAAACAGGCATACTTGTGGAGGTACTACTATAACTATTTACAAAAAAACAACTCAAAGTACCAATAAAGAAGAATATTTGTAGCTCAGGGTTGAAATGAGGGGTCCTTGATGCTCTCTGAGCTCTTGGACGTTTACTGATGTTTATTGATGATGTTACCTAGTTGGGGCAATGAAACAATCAAGCTTAGAGAACACCAAGGACCCTTCACAACTCAAAATCAATGGCTGGCAGACATAAAGACTTATTGAAACAGCCGAGCTTCAAGGCTTTTTTTAAGGCCCCCAGGATTGGGGTTCTTCAGCCTCAGAAAGAAGGTTGTTTCTTACAGCAGCTTCAACATAGAAGCCATGCCTTCTAGGTCATACAAAATGATAATTTTTAACAGCTAGAGTCTAATACTAATCCTAACATAACTTTCTAGATAGGGATGCACAAAAATCTAGATAAGTGCTTTTCCAAATATTCAAGCTTTACGCAATGTAGAGCTTTATATAAATACATGTACATGATATGTTTGGATGTATTTATATATATGTTTCTATTAGAGCTGTGCAAAACACTTGAAATAAGTGTTTCATGAAATATATAATTAATTATAGGTACTCTACTGTATCTACCTTGATACTTACACTCTATTCTGTGTTTTTCCATTTCTTGTACTTCTGCAACAGATTCCCTCAGATCATCTGTAAATTTCTTTCTGTCCTGGGGATTTGGAGCATTGAAATTTATTAAAACTTTGATATCTGCTCCCGGAACAGCTGATGTCAGTCGTATGCCATTTGGATAATCTAAGAGATAGCAAAAAACATAAACAAAAAATACCCCATTTATATTAATTCCATTTCATTATTTCTCCACAGTTCCATGTATAAAAAATATTTCAATAAAGGATTTCTATTACTGCATAAATACACTTTTTCCCTATTTCTTCTAAAGAAGAACTTCAGAGATTTCCCCACACTGTACTATACATTTCTAATGAACTATGAGGGCAATTCGGAAATAAACCTCCATTTGGTTATCAGGCTGAGGGTGCCGCAGAAGAAGTGGGCTGGCGAGGAGAGGCAGGTATTGATCTGTTCTACCTTTTTAGGTGTGCGCCTCACCCCAAAACTATGGCTTATTTTGGGGGGGGGGGTAGGGCTTATATTAGGCCCACACCCAAAAATCAAGCTAGGGCTTATTTTTGGGGTAGGTCTTACTTTCGGGGAAACATGATATAAGTAATATCTGTGCAGTGGTGATATCCAAAACTAATATATTCAAAGGCATTAAGTATAATCCAAAGCTCTTAACAAACTTAGTTTGTTCAACAACGCTTCTCTGTTAACTTTCATATTCTTATGCAACTGCCAATGGCTGATCTACAAGTCAGTTCCAGAATTGTTCTGGATTAAGAAAAATTGTAATATTTTTAACTTTATGTATTAAAATCCTGTATTAAAATATTTTAAGTTTAAATGCCATTTAAGCATAGCCTATAGTGTATGTATTGTTTCTAAATATGTTGTGATTTACCATCTGGAAAATATATTATGGACTACTGTATAAATTCCAAATGTTAATTTTGGAAGCCAGAGCAGCCAAGCAATTTCTTTCTATAGTGAGATAAAGATGTTGCTATATATCTTGGGAATTAGAAAAATGTAACTAAAAGATACATTCATTCTTAAACATGATTTACAATGAATTCTCAAATCAGATAAAGGGACTTACACTGATTCTCAAAAAGGAGAACTTGCATTCCGTAGAGGGTAAAGGACTGTCGAAAACTATATGTGACTGAATTCTTCTTCTTTTGAAAAATTTTAGTGACCTAAAAATATTAACAGACAATAAATAAAAATAAAGAAACATATTATCTAACTAAAATATGAGTATTCTAGATTTACTTTGTAATACATAGGTTTATGTTCTTAAATAATATAGATCACATTTCCGTAGTGAACCACAACAAGCATTTGAAACATTAATTCTGCCCTCAATGCCAAATTTATATAATCAAGGAAAGAGTTGGAAAAGATACTCTTCCTAGAATACAGCTGGTTAGGCAAACCTTGAGCAATAACAACAGCTATAATACCACTAAGAATGCATAGAATTAGGCCATTTTTAAATGGTAGTAAAGCTTTAATAAAAGAATGAAATGTTCGAGAATCCTGATATCTACCAAGGTACACTATTTTCTCTCATAAGAAAGCAAAATATAATTCATTAGTAATAGTAATAGTAGTAAAGTTGGAAGGGACCTTGGAGGTCATCTAGTCCAACCCCCTGCTCAGGCAGGAAACCCTACACCATTTCGGACAAATGGCTGTCCAGTCTCTTCTTAAAAACTTCCAGTGTTGGAGCATTTACTGCTTCTGGAGGCAAGCTGTTCCACTGATTAATTGTTCTCACTGTCAGGAAGTTTCTCCTTAGTTCTAGGTTGCTTCTCTCCTTGATTAGTTTCCACCCGTTGCTTCTTGTCCTGCCTTCAGGTGCTTTGGAAAATAGCTTAATTCCCTCTTCTTTATGGCAGCCCCTGAGATATTGGAATACTGCTATCATGTCCCCCCTTGTCCTTCTCTTCGTTAAACTAGACATACCCAATTCCAGCAACCGTTCCTTATATGTTTTAGCCTCCAGTCCCCTAATCATCTTTGTTGCTCTTCTCTGTACTCTTTCTAGAGCAGTGGTTCTCAACCTTTCTAATGCCACAACCCCATAATACAGTTCCCCATGTTGTGGTGACCCCCAACCACTTATACATCACCGGGTGCCAGGGGCGTGGCCAAAGAAAAGGGGGAAAAATGGCAGACAGCCTTGTTTGGTGACCCCCGTGAAATGGTCGTTCGACCCCAAATGGGGTCCCGACCCACAGGTTGAGAACCACTGTTCTAGAGTCTCAACATCTTTTTTACATCGTGGTGACCAAAACTGGATGCAGTATTCCAAGTGTGGCCTTACCAAGGCATTGAAGAGTGGTATTAATACTTCACGTGATCTTGATTCTATCCCTCTGTTAATGCAGCCTAGCACTGTGTTGGCCTTTTTGGCAGCTGCAGCACACTGCTGGCTCATATTTAGGTGATTGTCTACTAGGACTCCGAGGTCCCTCTCACAGTTATTACTATTGAGCATGGTGCCACTAAACCCAGAACCCATGGTGCCATTAAACCCAGAACATTCAATTCCTTTTTGTGGGAGATTAATGCTCTTGTACCATTGATAAATGTGCATCAGGGTAAGTCTGTGAGGACAAGGTTAACTCAACACTAATATGCATGTTGCTTTTAATAGGTAAAATGTATTGACAAGCAATTACTTTAGAAAGGAAGGATTGACTCCAGCCAACTGGGAAGATTTCAGAGGTGTTTTTTTTTTTTTATAAATTAAGGGCTTCATGTATGCCTCTGGTCTGTTAGATTACAGACTGGAACGCTCAGATCCAATTTACAGTAGTTGTACTTTTGTACCTTACCCAACAGGGCTATGGAAAGCTTTCTTGCTTAATAATGGTTCTCCCTTAATATAAAATAGCATAAATTATGTGGCACATACCACAAGGAGATCATTAAATAAAAATATTTCTCGCTGATGTAATCCAAGCTTCTGAGGTTTATTTGGATCTGGAACTTCAAAGAGTCTACAGTAACAAACAAGCCGCCGATGTGGGAGAGACAGAACCTATAAATCAGAAACAGGAATGCAACATATTATAACTGATTTCCCTGAAATTTATAAGGCTGCTCCTTGCAAATAATACTTCCAATTTATTTTTCCCTTTCTTGAACTGAATCCTACATGGAAAGCACTTATCAATTCCGCAAACAGAAATATTTTTAGATTAGTGATTCAGTTTTTTCTATATACTAACTAGAGTATTGTAATTTTAGAAAGGATCTATTTCTAAAACTATGGTGAGATCTGCTTACTGAATATATAAATACAGGTAATCCCCGAGTTATGAGTATTCACTTAACGCTTGTTCTAATTTACGTGATCAGCACCCCCTAGTGTTTACGAGCAAGTCACAAAATTATGAATATTACAGCACCATGGCAGTCGTTCGTCCTTACGAATGACCAGTGCTTTTTTTATATATATAAAAAAAGTGCTGGAACTCACACACGTCATACAACCCGCCTTGTCTACCCTACAAGGTTCCATCCAAAATGGTGCCGGAACTCCGTTCTGGGCATTCTATGACAAAAAAGCCCTGCGAATGACTGCAGAAGCTCTGCAACATTCACCCTATTCCCCCCTTGCTCCCCACAACTGCTTTCCCCTCCCTTCCTGCTGTGCTGGGCTAACTTACCTTGCAAAATCTATCTCCTCTCTGCCGTGGTTTCTTTCCCTTTGAGGGAGTGTAGAGTCAGCTTAAAAATGCTTTTCACACCAATAACGGAAACTCCTGGGTGCCGTAATATTATGCGAGTTCAAACACAAATTCTCTACAAAAGAGATCATGGCCCCTGGAAGCTTCCATTCTGGGGAGGGAAGTGTTTGCTTTGTTTGCATGCCTATGGGGCAAAGCATGGAATTGGAGTCAGCTGGGCGCAGGAAGAAATGACGTCCATGGCCCAGGTGCGCTGCTCGCTTGCGTGTGCTGGCATTAGTTTGAGGGCAGGAACAAAGTCTTAAACTGAGTGGGGAGGCATCATGGGGTGAGTCCCCCTTGCACCTGGGTCCAAGTTGCTGGCAGAAACAGCCATCTGAATGGCCACAATCTCCCCTCCCCAGCCAGCTACCCACCCCGCATGACGTAGTCCTTGCCTGATGGGCCGGTGGCACAAATCCTGACCACTCTTCTACTTGTTCTCCCCATTCAAGTGGCAGCAGCAGTTTGAGTTTCTCCGCTCCGTCCGAAAAGAAGAAAGCAGAGACGCTGAGCAGGATTGCTTTCAAGAAGATGCGGGTGCTCTACTTGCTCACGTGCGCTGGCCTTATTGAGAGCAACCCCGGTCTGCACTTTCACTTCTTTCAATTTGGACAGAGTAGAAAAACTCAATCCACTGCCACTCAAACACTTTTTATCCAAAGGAAATCTGAGAGATTGGAAAGTCCGTGTTACTGCCAATGGGAGGGCTATAGAAACGGAAAAGAATGTTCTGTTTCTGAAGCACCCCATTGGCAATCATACGCAATATTACAGCACCCAGGAGCTTCCATTGTCAGCACAAAAAGCATTTCCAAGCTGACTCTCCTCTCCCTCAAGGAGAAAGAAACCGCGGCAGAGAGGAGACAGATTTTGCAAGGTAAGTGAGTCCAACATGGCAGGAAGGGAAGGGGAAGCATGAGGTATCTTAGTGGGTCAGGGAGGCCTTGGGGGCCTGTTCCATCACTAGGCCCCCCATGGCCTTCCCCACCCTGACATATCTCATGTGTGTCTTAACGAGCAGGGAGTGATCTCATTCAAGGTATGAGATTTACTCCCATGAATTCTCGAGTTAGGAATGGAATGGGCAGGCTCCATTACATTTGTAACTCGAGGACTACCTGTACTTAATATATAAATATGAAAGCAAACACTTACACAACCAAGGCCATGATGTAAAGATCCAATCTATGGTAAAAAGACACAGAAAATATAATTAAACTTCAGAAAAACACAATATTGTACTTACCAAGCAAATATTTCAGTCTTATTATGATTAAATGTATATAAAATAAACATTTCTATAACATTGATTGTTGAGATTGTTAGAAACATGAAATAATTGAAAACCTGAATGATAAAACTTGTATTATTTGCAGTGTTTTTATTTGTTCTGCTTTTGAAATGACATTTTTAGTTTTTATGGCAATAGCATCTTGACAGAATCACCTTAGCTTGAAAAAATGGTATCCTAATACGCAATGATGAGTTTGTTGCTCATCTGAAATAGATCAAGGATAGACAAACATGGTCATTTTCTTACAGCTTCCTTCTGGTTCCAAAAACGCAAGACAAATTTCTTGTTATTAGTATCTTTTGGTTGCTCAGGTAAAGTCTATTTAATGGAGTGGAATGAATTTTTATTGCTTTTGTTTCCTGCATGTAGAAGAGCTAAAACTATTCTACAGTGGAACAGAATGGAATTTCAAAAAGAAAACTTAAACAGATAATTGAGAGAGCCTCCAACTCAGAGGAGAAGCTGTTATTGCAGAGGACCAATTATATATTCTCAAAGCAAAGTATGTAGCATATATTTGCATGCAGGATGTTTCTAGAAAGAGTGCAGAGAAGAGAAACAAAAATGATTAGGGGACTAAAGGCTAAAAACAAGTGAAAAATGGTTGTAGGAATTGGGTATGTCTGGTTTAATGAAAAGAAGGACTAGGGGTGACATGGTAGCAATGTTCCAATATCTAAGGGCTGCCACAAAGAAGAGGGAGTCAACTAGTGGTGGATTCAGCCAGTTCACGCTGGTTTGGCAGAATCCGATGCCTAATTTTTTGTTGAGTTCGGCAACCCAGTTATGATAAATCTGAGTCTCCACCCCTGGCCTTCCCATCTCTGGTTTTTCCAGTTTTTTTTTTTTTCAATACAATGCTGAGGTTTTCTCGCTTGGCTCCTCCCTTCAGCCATTCAAGTCTTGCCACTTTCACGCTCCTCAGGGTGATGGAAGAAGTTCTCCAAAGCACTGACTGAAGCTGACGCCATTTTCTATGCCCAAGGGAGACCTCCTCCATCACTCTGCAAGTGGAGGTGGGGGGGAGGGGAAGACAGGTGATCTGCATGGTGGTAGCAAGCAGAGACAGGCAGGGGAAGGCTTCCTCTCTTCCTCTGCTTGCTGCCGCCATGCGGCATATCTGGATTGCCTGCCTTCCCCCCCCATCTCCACTTGCAGGGTGATGGAGGAGGTCTCTCTTGGGCATGGAACAGGGCTTCAGCTTCAGTTGGTGCCTGCAGGGCGACTGAGGAGATCTCTCTTGGGCTTCTCGCACTTTCTCCTTCTTCCTCCTCCTTTGAACAGACCTTTGTTCCCATTGCTGCTTTTTCAGTCCCAGATCTTGGTTTGACCGGAGCCTTTGCAGAGGGTCTTTGAAAATGAAGCCCTGCAGCAATTGGGTGGGGTGGGAACCATCCCTTCGCTATTTAACTTTCTTTAAAGTTTCCATATTCTGCATCAAATAAACTTTAAAGAAAGTTAAATAGTATGGTAGTGAAAATCCAGCATGGAGAAAAAAAAACCTCAGTTTTTTAAGATGCCAGACTAGCATGCATTCACATGCCTCCAATCCCCTTGCTTGCTTCAAAGCCAGATTGGAGTCCTTCGAGCCCATTTCAGAGTAGGTCCAAAAGTGAAAGGAATGGTTCCTACCCTATCCGATCACTGTGCGGCTTCGTTTCCAAAGACCCTCTGCACAGGCTCCGGACAAAACTCCGGAACTGAGAAAGCAGCAATGGGAGCAAAGGGATGTTCAAGGAAGAAGGAGAAAGTGGGAGAAGTCGTTACTGAACAGGCGAGGTACGATGGATGTCAGGGCATGGTAGGCCTGGCTGTGAGGACACTTTGGCAAGGTAAGTGGTTGCGGGGTGCATGGTGCAGCTCCCCCTTCCCTCCCTACATCATGGCAGCAGCCCCCACTGGAGGTTTTTAAGAAGAGATTGTACAACCATTTGTCTGAAATGGTACAGGGTTCCCTGCTTCAGCTGGGGGTTAGACTAGAAAACCTATAAGGCCCCTTCCAACTCTGTTATTCTTTTAATCTGAAAGCTCACTTCCTTGATGCCAACCGATATAATTATTTAAGCTTCATGGGCAATTAAATGATAACCATTTCAGACGTATACATTTGTATTCTTTATCTTTCTTGATATAATTAATTCCAAAAAATTTCAACAGTAGCACCAGCTATACCATCCAGAAATTCCCTGAACACAGGCTATACCATTTTTCTAGGACCAGGGACATACTTTTTACATTGGTGCTGCATTTTGGATCTCAATAAATGTAATGAAAAAGAACCATTTCTTTCATTTTGCCAGGTTTTCAAAGACAAACCAGGAACCTCACTCTATGCTTCCCTCAGCAATTCCTCTCTAATCTTTTTCCTTGTTCCCATGTACAGGAAATGGAACAACGTAATATTTTAGAATAATTGCAACATGCCATAACATCTTCAGAAATGAGACAAAGGCTAGTTGATGCTAACTATGGCTTGCTGAAACAAACAAATCACACTATTTGACAAGCAAAATCAATGAGGAAGCCAGATTCACTTAACAATCATGTGACTAACTTAACAAATGCAGGGATTTACTTAACAACCGTGTCAAGAAAGGTCATAAAATGGGGCAAAATTCATTTAACAAATGTATCACTTAGCAACAGAAATTTTGGACTCAATTGTGGCCGTTACGTCGAGCACTAGCTCTAATCACTACCAGTACAAAGTTATTCAATTTTCTTCCATTTTTAGTCTTTCTGATTATAATCATAGATGATTTTTTTTAGAAGACTTTCATTATCCTGCAATATTCTGGCAACATTCTGAGACAATCCAGTCTAACTTTATGCATAATATTACCCATAAGAGAAACTTACCGGCTTTTTTCCTACTATGAGTTTTTCAACCTTTTGAACTTGTGACACATGATCCTCATTGGTCTTGAGTTCCCGTTTTCGGATTCTCTCATAAATCCCAATGAGCATCTCTCGTGGAATATCTTCACCATCATCTACACCTGGAAAAGTGATTATAATCACTGCTGATTAATACATGTACCATCTTTGCACTTTCATTATATTATTCTTCATAGAACCCCAAACCAAAGATATATCTGATTTGGATACTACCAGTCACCTTATAGGAGAGATGGGAGGCATAGAAATTTAATAAATAAATAAATTTGTCTGGAATATCAATCCCAAAGCAGGTCCTGGCTGCTAATATAACCATTATGCCAATTAAAGTCTGGATTTCTCTATACCATACTACAAACAGCCATTTTGCAATTAAAAAAACAGGCATAAGACTCATCGATATGGCAACATTTCCATTGTTAAACAGAAATAGGCAAATTAGGTCTTCCATTCACACATAATTATTGACTGTTTGTAAGAACATAAAAACCCTTCTATTTAAGACTAAAGATGCATCTTGTCTAGTAATCTCAGCCTTTGCAAAAACCTGAAGAAACGATGTAGACAACAGTCCCCTCTCTATTGACTCCTTTTAAAAGTAGTTCTTATTTAGGGTCCAATATTAATATTTGCTCCAGTCCCAGAAATGCTATAAAACAGAAATAAGTATGATAGAAGAGAATATTTGTAAATCAGGGTTGAACTTAGCGCTCTCTGAGCTTGGTTATTTTCTTGCAGATGTTCCATTACCCAATGAGATAATGAATATCGGTGCTAGTATAAAATGGGTTTGCTCTCATTTTATATATACAAGTGGCCTTCCCTGTCAGTCTTGGTGGTTCCTTGATTTGGCTGTTGTTTACTCAGCCAACTGAGTAAACTATCAACAACCAACTCAGCTTGTGTGACTGAGTTGGTAGTTCCTTGATTGGAGTATTATTTACTTCTTGATCGTTGGTTTAATGTTAATCTCTGTTAATATCTGCTCACTAGGGTGTTGATTGCTGGTGAGAAGATGTTTGGCTTTTTGATTGTTTCTTTTGAATGGTATGTATATGTTGTTTATGATATTAGCTAGTTTGGTAATGAAACATCTGTAAGAAAATGGCCAAGCTCAGACAGCACCAAGCTCAGACAGCACTACTCTGCAACCCTCAAGCCTGTTTCTATTCTGTTATTTCCAGAATACTGTCATATCAGTATACTAGAATGTTGAAATAAAAGTGCTAATTTCCATTGACATGATTTTAAAAAAGTTTAGACCAAAAAAGAGGCCCTTAAACTTCTCTATTCCTCTGGCCATTTCAATGATAATACCATATATTCTATGATATTAACAAAGTCCTATCTAGATCTATTTGGCACAGAGCCATCATGACTCAGAGACTTCATAAAATAAATAATAATATAATTCTTGGTAATCTGATTACTTAATTTAATATGTATTTCTTTTATAGGGATAATTATAATTAGAAGCATAGTTTATGGAATGCAAAAATACTAAATAAACGATACTCGATGACTACTACTGTTGAATACCCATTTGCAATTGTATAGTTTAATGGTAGTATTGGTTACTGTACTTATAGGGGAGAGGGTAAAGAATTACTTTTGTTTCTACTCGTGAAGATTGGAAATCACTTCTTTAAATATTGCTCTGTTTTTCCTTATATTTTTCTCTTTCTTCCCTTTTCTCTCTTTTCTTGAACCTTCTCCTTTTTCTTTATTATTTTATCTTTTTGAGTTTACTTTATATAGTATTTTATTATTGCTTTTATGATTACTATTTACTAGTAAAACTAGCAATTACTATTAGTAAAATTTCATAATGTAACAATTATTTAAAAAATAAAAAAAATAAATCAGCTATATTAATGAATCTGGATCATTCCAAGAGAGATATCCATAGGCAAACTGGTATCCACATGCTATTCATTGTCACTTCCTGATTTAATTAAAGACAAGTATTTTTAAAGTCTGCCTTTGTAGTCCAAACAGAAGAACTTATTTATTTATGAATATATACCTGTATCTACATGCACACATATACACAGAGACACACTTTGTTCCTCACATAGATTCCCAAGCCACTTATAATGTCAAAAGAACAATCAAACCATTTGCAAATCATTGGATATACAATTATTACTATCTTGGGTTTAGACCTAGAAGGAACCCAAGTATAGTGCAGAATTTGAAATCATGAAATCTATCAATACTGTTCCTTAGCCTGCTGCCAGAAAAACAAAAGCAGGTGGACTAGTTCCTCCAAAGCCTCTGAAGTAGAATGGTTAAACTCTCAAAACTTTATTATTATAATTAAATTTATTTGCCGCCTATCTCTCCATGGAGCTACTCATTTAACAGTTGCAGTACTGGAGGGTAATATAATATACCCAGGTCTCTAGATAATGAGAAATCTGCAATAGAGGCAAATATCTGTAGCTTAGGTATAGACTGAGGGTGAAGGTTCATTTTCCGAGCTTCTGAGTTGGTTTCCGAACATTTCGTTACCTAGCCTGGTAACAAAATGTTTGGAAACCAACCCACAAACTCGGAGAATGAACCTCCACTGTCAATGATAAATCTCCATGTTATACCTACCTCTTAGATTTTTGACAAAATCTTCAAGCTTCATTTTACGTTCTGGTTTTACATTTGGACTATACATATCTGTGTTTAATAATATGATTGCAAAAGCTAGAATGAAGATGGTGTCAGGATTTCTGAACTGCCTTACAACTCCTGGATTGCAGATGCAGTATCTCTGGCTAGAAAAGACGTTTTAGAAAAATACTAGGTGAGATTCAAGGATAACTAGAAAAAAAACAATATATTCATATAGAAAGCTGAATTATATTCTTATCATTATTCACTTGGTATAAAAAGTAAAATAAAAAACAATATTTACTCTTTTATTCTATTCTCTTATCTAATAATAAGAATCTACACTGCAGAATACTAAAGTAAATACTTTCAATTTCTCAAACATCATATATTAGGTAAACGAATACAGATATATCAAAAGGACAACTGTATCATTTTATGCAATTAATTTTCTAAATTTGCACACTTCACCAACACAACTGAAGTTTAAACTTATGTCCTTTACACTAAGTGATTTGAAAACTATTGCAGACTATAGGCATAATATGACTGACATTTGTCAACTGGGTATATAATACTGATTTGAGTGAACTGAACAGCAGAATTCATAAAAATGTATTCTATGTTGCTTATAAAATATCCTTGCTTCAGAGCAAACTTACAGAGGCTAAGTGAGTCATCAAAAAAGTGTAACTATTGGGACTTCCGGTTCCGGTACGTGGCGACACCAGTCGCATCTTGGGGACTTGTCTCCAGTCCAGCTGGGTTTTCTGCGTCGGTAGACCCCCTAGTGGGTCGAAAGTCGCCCTGGAGGGGTGACCACTGAGAAGGAGACTTGCTGGTGACTGTGGGAGAGTGGCAGCTTCTCCCGCGGCCCCAACTATTTCCTTAGGGCCGATGGAGCAAGATGGCCGATTATCCTGCTGCACCAGCCGAAGTCACAATTAAAGCTAAGCGATCTTAGACCCATCATGGAGGAGCCGAGTGAGACCCTTTTTGCTCCTCTCTTTCCCCCACTTGTTTTTTTTTTGCTTGAAAAAACTTGGTTGGAATTATTTCCCTGTTTGGAAAAGGCAGCTTCTGTGTGCATGGGAAGAAAGGCGTTGAGAACAAAGAATTTTTAAAGGCTACACTCTATTTTCAGTCATTTTGGGATACAGGAAAAAATACTGTTTCGAATTGTATAAGTAGCTAATATTGGAAGATTATTTTTTCCCTACTCCTTCCTTTAAAACAGTGGTTCTCAACCTGTGGGTCGGGACCCCATTTGGGGTCGAATGACCATTTCACGGGGGTCGCCAAACAACGCAGTCCGCCATTTTTTTCCCCTTTTCCTTAGCTGTGCCACTCCCTTTTATTCTATTGACTTTTGAAAATCAATAGAATAGACTCTCTTGAATAGAGTCTAATTCTATTGGTTTTCAAAAGCCAATAGGAATTGTCCAGGCTGTCTCTGCCCTGCTGAGCCCGCCAAAAGTCCCATTCTGCAAACGGTGCTGCACCAGTTGAGTAGTCCTCGACTTACGACCGGTTGAGTAGTACTCAACTTATGACCGGTTGAGGCTCGCGGCATTAAAAAGATTGAGAACCACTGCTTTAAAAGATTGAAAAAAGGACAAAAAAATGGTGTCTGGAAAAGATTTTCTATTTACTGAGGACATCTAGTGGTGAAAAGTTAATATTGCAACTATTCTTTGGAGAGAAAGATTTGACCTTCAGATTATTCCTTGAAAAGATAAGCTGGTGCAGCTGTGGGAACTGAGGGGGTGGACATTGTTTAATTACAGCCCTCATTAAAAAATAATAATAAAGAAAGGATTTTTACTTTTAAAATGGAGAAACCCTACTCTCACTTAAACTGTAAGCTTATACTGGAAAAGATCTATGAGGTTTCTGAAGAAATACGTGCTATAAGGAAAGGGATTATTACAGAACGAAGAGTTCTACCCCAAACATTCAAACTGACTTTCAGACTACAACTGTTTATTCTACAAACCAAAACATACCAGAAGAGGAATTAAGGGAGATTAAAGAGGAATTTGTTACAAGGAAAGAGAATACCACAGAACTAAGAACCAGAGATTCTTCTTTAAACCTGAAAAGTGACTTTCAGACTACACCTGACTATTCTACACATCAAAATACACTAAAAGATGACTGTATTGAGGATACAGAAGAACTTATTTCACCCTACAAGCATCTTACTTATATTTTCAAGGATCAGAAAAAGCAAAGACTGAGATGTGAACCTTCAAAACAGTGAGGTTTCAAGAATAAGAGAAATGGAGCTCCAATGCAAAGGACAACAAGCTTATTATTGCCGCAAGTGGCATCACAAGCAATAAAGAGAGACTTTGGATGAAAGGGAAGTGTTGCTATGGAAACCTGTTTGGCAGAAAAAAAGCCTAGAATAAGACTGAAAAGAGAAATTTAAAGTTATATATATTGGATATAAGGCATTTTAGAACTATGGATTGATTTAAGGATTAAGTTCCTGAGTAGTTTATTTGTATGAAAATTATTATATAATGGAATGAATAAAAATGAAGAGATGTTCTAGTTTTGTTTGATAATATGGATATTATTAGGTTTGATAATTAATTGGACGAAATTAGAACGTTGTTTAACGGATTCAAATGATTTAAGGTTGATAGTATTTTGTTTAGCTAGATATGTATAGGATAGATTAATATTTTATCAATTGGGAGATATTAGTGGAAGAAGGAATAAACAAGATTTATGATGAAATTAAAGAATTAGGATATATCTGGAAGGGATACCTGAACTGATAATGTGTGTACTTACAGTTAAATTTGATTATGGTATTGTAATTGCATAAAACAGGTTTAGGATTAATAGTAAATTAAATTAGAAATAGACTATTTTAAATATATAAGCTATTTGAGGGAAATAGAGAGGGAATAATTGATGTATTGATTGAGTTACTGATGTATGTCTTGTTTTTGGATTTTTGATTACCCCAGCACCACGGTGTGTCTCAAGCACTTTGTATTAAGATCTAAAAAACCAATAATTTTTTTTTTAAAGTGTAACTGTTCATATAACACAGCACACCTATTATATATCATAGCCACAGGATTGCAAACTGGTTTTAGTGGTCATAGAAGCATTTTCCTTTCTCTGTTTAATGATGCCACTGATTTAACAACTATAAATCAATGCCCGAGGGTATATATATATTTATTTTAGAAACACTCGATGACTTTTACATTTCTTGTCACATCTCTATCAGGAAAAAGAACATTTGAATAGGTTTTAATGAGCGAATATCTTTGCTTGCTCCGCTAAGCTGAACTGCTTAATTCAAGGTTATTATAGTAACTGCATAAGTCAATGCATGTTAATTCGAGACTATATATTTAACTTCTTTTTAAAGGTTTAAACTGAAATAGTACCATTCTGTTGCTTCTGTTTAAAATAAATGACAAAAGAATAACCAAATTAAGCTACCAGAAATTACAATCTATATACATATACATAATTATATACATAATTTTATCTTAACAGATTATCTGAACAATCACTTTGCAATTTTTTTAAAAAGTAACTATATTCAACCACACTATTCCTGAGAGTTATACATTTTCAATCAGTTGCTGTAACTTGCTGTGTCATACCTAAAAGCTTCAATGAGTCGTTCTACTTTCTGAGCTTCTCCTTGGACACGGATATGAGCTTGAAATTTCCTGAGAGCTTCATCCAGTTCCATAGCTGAGAAGTCCATCTCATCCACAACGCAGCTAGAGCAAAGAAAGCATTAATTTATCTTGGTTTATCCTAACCGGGTTTTTTTTTTTTTTGGTAAATTTAACTGGTCTATAGGATAGGATAGGATAGGATAGGATAGGATAGGATAGAATAGGATAGGATAGGTTGGGTTGGGATGGGATCGGGTAGAGTAGAGTAGAGTAGTGTAGAGTAGAGTAGAGTAGAGTAGAATAGGATAGTTTATTGGTCACATAAAGAATTGCTATTTATATTGCCATTATATTTGTCACACAACATGTCAGCAACAAATTCAGAGACTTCTCTGACATGAGCTGATGTCACTGATATTCCTCTGGATTGACTGTTATTAGGTTTTTGTTTTAAATTTAAACAAAAAGGTAAGCAATTATAATAACAATGTTTAAAACTTGTATACCACATGTTTCCCAATGATTCTTGTAGGAACTGTACTGTCCTATTTCAGCCACTGGATAAGCAGAGCAGACATAGTTACAAAGTAATCAAAACTCTAGTCTAAAAGGGATGAGTCAAATTCCAAATCTGGACAAAGTTTAAATAGTCAGCTTATTCAAGAGAGTGGGTCTGATTAGTATACAAAATATGAATATTTCTAACATTGGCTTTATCTCAGACAGAAAGCCTTATATAAAAAGATTAACTTACAATAAAATTGGCACATATCTAACGCAGTTCAGAATGCAAGTCTATTCAGAACCAATAGTGTCTTCTGAGTAGATCAATACTCCTCAGTTAACTTTTTCTTATAAATCCTGCAGTTTTAAATGTGCAAATCTTTTGATTCTCTGCATGAGGATACCATTGTTCCTGCAGGGTTTGAGTCTAAATCAGCCTGCATTCACGAGGCCCAGTTTTTCCCTGATAAGTAATGTTTACCCTTATTCAATGTATTGTTGGTTTCCAAGGTCTCTCTGGGTTCATTTTCTTCTGACATGGAATTTTCCTAAAATGCTGTAATTTGTATGGACCCACAACCACGATAAGGCAAATGGGAACCAGTTTTTGAAGGAAAGGTGAAAACCTGCTTCTCCATCCATAACATGCCATTAAAGACACTCTCTGGATTGAATTTATCTTGATTATATCCTTAGCATGGTGGGGAGGTCAGCCATTAAACAATTAATGGAATGCCTGAACATCAAACTAATTTTTAATCTATTTCTGATTTACTATTTTGCAATTTAGTCATTGGAAAATTTCCCCCACAACCTAATTAGCTATGGTAGCAATACATAAAATAAATAGATGGTTAAATGAAAACTAAGCTAGGATGTAGCTATCATACTGCAACGAAACTTAGCCTTTTGAGTGGCATTTAATATCTAATTAATTTTGTTTTTTTAAAAAATTCTGACATTTACATGAAGGAAGAAAATATGAACCACTATAGTGTGTGAATATTTTTCTGCTTTCTTGCCCTATATAAAGTCCATAGCACAAAGTAACATGCTAAAATATAAGCTAATTAATACTGATTGATTTAAGTGCAGGTTGTGATGGCATATTTAATTTAATGTTTTGGCTGAATTCCAGTGCTGCTTTAAGTAACTCAATCTCTACTGCATGGCTTAAAAGAAGAATAAAGTAATCAATGTTTAATCCATAAAAGTTTGAATAACTAGAGCAACTATAAAGAAGTGGCATAAGAAATAACTTTCCTAATTTTATGCAGAATATAAAAAGGTATCAGTATTTTTAGGTAGTCCAATTCCTATACAAAATATTTTATCTGATAGTTTTAAATAAGTTTTTCCATCAGCATTTGAAACTACAGGCTACTGTTATAAATATAGAGCTTTGGAATAGAACTGAACTGAAATGTAGCTTTTTTTCAGGAAAGATTAAAGATCAGGGAAAATATTTTTTAAGTACGGTTTGCTTCAGTATTCAGATGAATATGAATATGAAACAAATAGGACATATCAGTCCAGGAAGAGCTCACAAGGGACTTGCATATAATATAAATTATGTTTCCCAATTACTGCATAAAAAGCTAGTCTACTTAATTCAGCTCAGATGACTAGAGACACTTCCATGCAACATTCTTGGCAAAAGTATGCAAGTGAGTTCATCACTGTCATCTCCTGGAATGGTTTTAGATTTTCCAGTTTACCCTACTATGGTGTTTATTAGTGGTCTCCGATCAGTGAATCAATTATATTTGACTATTCTTAGCTTCATAGTCCAGAAAATCATCTCATGGAGGCAAACTACTATATTGTATACTTCTAAGATTTCAGATGACAATGAAGAGGCTCAATAGCTACACAAAAAAGCACAAGAAACGACATATTGCCTGCTCATATCCCTTCAACACCAAATGAACTTTTATTTTCCACAGTGATGCTTCATTAAGTATTTGGCATATTCTTTCAGTCCTACTGGACTTGTCTGTTCTTGTGAAGCTTATCTATTTCTGGCTCTGTGTTAATGTATTTGAAACTAAGGCAAAGCTGGCTCTTTCCTTTGAATCACTGTAATTCCACAAAACTTATAGGTGTTTTTCCACTGATGGGGATTCTTACTTTATATCACAGGTCTTCAAACTTGGCCCTTTTATGACTTTTGGACTTCAACTCCCAGAATTCCTCAGCCAGACTCAAGGAATCAGTATTATCTATTCTCAACAAGGAATAGGTTTTAAGTGTCTTAAAATCTGGTGCTTATCTACAATCATTGTTTAGAATGCAGCTTCTCCTATTCCATTTCCATAACAGATTGTAGCTCCTGGAAAAACATCTGGCTGCAAAAGGGCTGGCATGATATAATTTAATTTTTGCTGTTTCTGAGGCACTCTTTCATGCCAGAATTGCTTTGCAGCCAATTAATCTTCTCTTAAACACACCACTCAGGTTTGTTTTTTTTAACAACCTGGTAAATGAATATATTTAATGAATATATTTATTGAAAGGTGGAGGGGATATATGTTAGAATGGCACGTGCACGCGCACTTTAATGTTGTTACAGATCAGGAGCTCCTTGGAAAAGGGCACTGACCGAATGTTCTTTGCACTTTCCCACCGATCAACAGGATGGAGGACTGTCTGATTCATGGCGCTGTTAGCATTTTGAGACTGGCAGCAAATATCATTGATTAGCTCCAATCATTAGATAAGGCACTGTTCACTTATATAATCATTTTTCTAAAGAAAAACCTTATGTTGCTTTAAAAAACAACAAATGCACCATTTGCAACTGAATGAACCTGTGCCTATTTATTTTAAATAATCATAAATTTGGCTCAAAGGCTGATGGAGTTAGCAGAGATGCTTTAATTAAAGAAAAAAATACAATTAACTTTATTTTTAGTTGGAAACACTTCTGTATTTTGGGCTTGAGGCAGAAAAAAAATGAAACTTTAATTTGGGTTTTGCTGATAAGACAGGTTGTTGTTATAGTGGCTAGTATATATTACTATGTGAAAATAAAAATTGAAGTTGCATGTTATTACCTTATTCTATGGTGCTAAAAAGAGCTGTAAGTGAATGCTTTTCTTTTTCTTTCCTCTTTTACCCTACATTGCTTCCTCTTCTCTTTTTCCTCCCCTACTTTCCCATTATTTTCATTTTTCTTTGTATTTCATATTTCAATAAACTAATAAAATTTGTAAAAAATAATTATAAAGTACAAAATAGCAAAAAAACAAACCCTTTCTATACCTTTATCTGCATTAGTCCTGCTGAGTGGCATGCATGGATGTGATAGTAAATGGAACAATTTCTTCACTTTGATTGTATTTATTTTATTAATAATATTTTTATAAATTTATAAACTGCCAATCTCATTGTCTAAGTGATTTAGAGCCGGGTCTCCAACCTGTGGGCCACAGCCCACTACCGGGCCCTGGCCGTTTGGCCACTGGGCTAGCATGGCCCACCCCAAGCATCCTGCCGGCGCTAGCATTGCCCTGCCCCTGAGTGGGACAGTACATGAAACCATGTTCCCTCTGATCTGCAAAAAAATTCTCTCCATGGAACCGGTCCCTGGTGCTCAAAAGGTTGGGGACCTCTGATTTAGAGATTTATACATAAAAGAAGAAAAATTACTTTTGACTTAAACAAAAGATACTCAGCATCACCTTTTTTCTTTTAATGTAGCACATACTTAAATGTGTAACAAAAGTTTTATATATGTTACTTACTCTAAAACATCCCTGTTAAACTGCTTTTGTCGATTTCCCAAGAACTCTCCAATCATTTGTCTGCTGAGACCTTTTCTCTGTAACAGGAAATGGGCAACTCCAACAGGCGTATCTGGCACAAAGCCTCTGTCGATCAAGTACTGGATTCCTTTTTCTGGTTTTCTAAAGGAAAAAAACACAAATACAAGATTCCGTGTTTTACAGGCTCTGGGTTGTCCTAAAAGGCTTATAATCCAAACATTTCTGTTTAAACCTGTACATTGAAAGATTTTTTTTACTTTTTATTTGAGCTAAGCTGAAGAAATGCAGAGATTGGGTAGAGGCAAAAAATTAAACAGAACTTAGCGTTCATTATCCACATTCAGCTTTTACTGTAAATCAGAACATCTCACTCATCTTATACATAAACAAATGCAACAACTTCAACTTACATAGCCATATTCTGCCAACCTCATGGATTTTTGCAATAGTCAAAGGAAAGGTGATAATTATCTCTTACGTTGTGCAAGCCAACTCATACAATGTGAAAACTCTTTTGAATACTGAATACATTAAGTTTTCAAAATTGTTTTGAGCTTGAAGTTTTCTGCATTTTTTCTATTTGGAAACTAGACAACTAAAGTCAAATGAATATTCTAGCAAAAATAATTCTTCCATTGGGATTTCAATTTGTCTGAAAAGCGCATAGTAGGCTTTAAAGGGTATTTGTGTTATCAATTATCTGGTATGATACATTAAGACATGCTTCACCTTGAAATTATCATAATAACTTCAACAATCAACATTATATCATAAAAGCTCATGTAAATTTGCAAAATTCTGAGAAATTCATATCCCCTAAAATATATAAAAACCATTAATTCTAATTGTTTACATCTCATCTGTACATCAATATTTAATTAACATGAGTAATTCAATCAAAAATCTGTTTTGTACATAAGCAACAATTACAACAATAAAGAACAAGAAACACTTTTGTATAATACTTTACCACAAAGTAAACATTTTAAATGTTTCCTTATCTATATATCTTTATTAATTAAAAAATAAAAAGTTGAAATAAACAAATAAAAATCTGAAAAAAGAAAAAGCTCAGGAAAGTAAAAGGATGAAAGTGCAAGACAGAAAGAAGGAAAGAAAAATGACTTCTGACTTTCTTTAGTACCAATGTAGGTTAAAAAAAGACATGTAAATCAAGCACTAAGATTCATTTACATTGTTTCCATTATCCCACATGTCTACTGATCAAATCCCCAAATCAACTTTTCATTCCTTTCAGCTTCTGACAAAAAATTCAAAAATGGTTTTCAAGTAGAAATAAAATTTGTCAAAGTCTTCTCTTTCATCAAACTGTCAATTTCACCATCTCCTCCAATTCTACCAGTTTCACCATTCATTCATCCATTGTAGGTATTTGTAAGTCTTCCATCTTTGACCATATGAATGTCTTGCTGTTGTTATAATATATAAAAACAAAGTTCTGTAAGAAGTTTCCATTTGTATGTCCATTAAGCCCAAAAGAAAGGCCCTTGATTTCAATTGTATATTAACTTTTAAAATTTTCTGCATCAAAATACATATTTGGTCCCAATATTTCTAGCTTTGTGGCAAGTGCACCAAAGAGGAAAATAATCACTTCAGTTGCCTCAAGTCTGAGTACATTTCCAACAAATATTTTAAATTCCCTTACATATTTTTGACATTTTATTCGATGTCATGTATCGACAACGTATCATTTTATAAAAATTATCTTCAAAATTATAATTCAATATAAATTTCAACACTTTCTTCATGTATTATATTCCATTAGACCAACTTTGTATTATTTCTGAAATATTTTCGTGTATTTTATATACAATCTTTAACTTATTTGTCTTCTATTTCAATTTTTAACAAAGGCTTACACATCTGGGCAATAATATGATCATCATTTATACAGAGCTCTAGATCCAATTCAGTTTTACCTCTATTTTCTCTTTTAACACCCTTATGAATATAGACATACCCTTTATGTTAGAAACAGTGAACATGAAGAATTATCCAAAGAGAGATTCATATTCAGCTGATTTGAACTTAGATTTCTTCTATCAGTACGATCCTGTTATGTTTTGCAATATTATTTTTAGAATAGGATAATTTTTACTAGTATACCAAAATCCATCATCAGAAGGAATGGAAAAACAGTGTCCCAAGGAGAAAACAGACAGCAAAAGGTTCTGGCAGGGATTTGCCCTTGAAGAAACGATTGACTTTGGTTTTGATTAGTCTGCATATTAGTCACCACAAGAGACTGCAGAAGAAGATTATTCCATTATATAGCATGAATTATGCTTATTATTATCACACAGTATATGTGTACAATGTAAATTCAAAAAGTGGAAACATGACACTGTATTATGCGGCAATACAAAAAAAAAATCTGGATCTAATTAGAATGTACCTTAGGAACTGAAACAAAGGGATTCAAATAACAGCTTAGTGCTCATTTTTCCTTGCTTAAAACTGGATATCTTAAATAAAATGGAAGAATGTTCAATCTTCATGTTCAATATGATTATGAATCATCTAATCATAAATGGCTTGCTGCATGAATTTCTTACTTTTATGAAGAAATATATTTAATAGTAGCTGTGAATTGGGCAAAAGAGGATTTTAGCTGGTGAGCTGCAGCTTACGAAAGCTAATTTTTAATAAAATATATTAGTTGGAAACACTGCCACCAGTCTCCTGAGTTTTGACTATTATAAACTAACATAGGTCTCTTCCTACAATATTTGATTGGTGAGATGTTATTATTATGATCAGTATCACTGACAACACAATTAGTTATATCATTTTAAAATATATATTTTATAACATTCTTTTTTAATGTCTAAGTGTAAAACATTTGATTGAAAAGCTCTAAGGTTTCAAAATTTGGGGTAGTCTGCAAACAGTTAAATGTATCAGTATTTTATAATACTATTTTTAGAAAGTTTATCTTTTCCAAACACCACAAGATTAACAAATGTTACAAAGTAGCATGTGAATAAAAGATTAAGGAATATGGAAGAAATACTGAACTTTCCCAGAAAAACAGAAGGGAACAGACAAAAATCAAAGATTATATTTATTAGCATAATGTTAGTCTTTCAAAATAGTGATTAAATGCATTTGAACAGAAAATCAATTAATTGCTACAAGAAAAGGGAGAAGATCCACAGTCATAGTAGTTTGCTGGGTAAAAGTTTTAGTTATGTAAATGAGACACATGAAAGAAGATTAAAAAGGATAGATACATCTATAACAGAGGGCAAAGATTTTTTTCACAGTGTTATACACTTTGAAAATAATATATTATAGAAAAACAGTTTATGTGCAAAACCACCTAAGTAGTAGTTCTTGACAGGCTTATGCAAATAATATTGTGTATTATGCTATGTGATGAAGATAGCCTGGTCTGATTTCAAATGAAATAAAGAAGCAATATAATTCACATCAACATTTATAAGACAAAAAACACTTTTGATTTATGAAACGAAGATATGCAGATTGTGACAGATTATCATTCATATGATTTATTATCCCTTCTATTTTAAAGAGACACAGACAGAACATGATCTGCTAACCTTGTCATAACTGACCAACACAGGATCTAAAGACCATAATGCTGTTTTCCCCCCTAAAACTAACAGCTTTAAATGAAAAAAATAAGACCTTTTATCTACTTCTAGGTCACAGCAGGTGGTACCACCTAGTCCATACATATCTAACTCGCAACATCATGTGATGTCACACGACGTATTGGAGCTTTTCCCCCATTGCCGGCAATGGGGTGGGCACAGTTTCCTTGTGACGCGTCCGGCCTGTGGGCTGGCAATTTGATACTCCTGACCTAGTCAATCTTGGCTAGTCTAAAAAGTTAAACAAGGATGGAACAGGGGATGGGGTGGAAGTACCACAGCAAATTACTTCTATTTTGTGCAGTCAACATGTTACCAGGAATAGAGCATGACAAGGAATCATTACTTTTATCTAATGCTGCAAATAATATTGATCATGTGCCATTAACATATTGTAGACTCTTAGGGATCATATTGACAGTGTGATCATTCCTCTATTATGATCTGTCCCTAACTAGATCCTTCAGGTCTTCCAAAGGCACATCTATTGTAACTGAGTCTCTTCACTTCACTGTTGGTCATCCTCTTCTTCTCTTTCCTTCAACCTTTCCCACCATTAGAACCTTCCTCAGGGAGCTAGTCCCTTGCATAATGTAGGATAATTTGAACCTGGTCATTTCTGTAAGAATTCTTGTTGAATCATTTATGATCCATTGGTTTGTTTTCTTGTCTAAATATGGTATTCTCAGGATCCTTCTCCAACACCAAAGATCAAAAGTGTCAATATTCTTCCTATCTTGCCTCTTCGAAGTCCAACTTTCACTTCCATAACACTGTCACAGGAAATACCATGGCCTACACAATTCTGATATTTATAAAAGTACATCATGCATTTGAATATCTTTTTCAAGGTTTTCATGGCTGCTCTACCAAGTGTTAGTCTGCACTGTATTTCTTGATTGGTTGTTCTTTTACTGTTGATGGTCGATCCTAAAAGGCAGATTTTTTCCAGTTCAATGTTTTCATTTTCACTTCTAAGGCTGGTTAATCTTGTCATTAATTTGTTCATCTATATATTTAATTTTAGATCCATTTTTTCATTGTATGCCTTGATTTTTATTACTAGAACTTGCAGAATCTTTGAATTTTCAATAATCAAGGCAATGTCATCACTTTAGTGAGTATACAGTTTTATCTCATTCCTTTGCCAAGTCAGTCTTTTTCACCATGTTCTGGTTCTACTGCGACTGTCTGACCTTTATACAAGTTTCTGATGAGAATAATGAAATGTTCTGTGATTCCCATTTTTTCTGACCACTGAGTTGCAAATAATAAGGGTAGCTTATAAAATGGTAGGGAACCTCAGCAAAAAGCCATTTGTTGAGCCCCCTCCAGTGTCCATGAGCTGTGCTGGTTAGCAGCAGCAGTGAGCAGCTGGGAATCTAAACTTAATAGAGGCCTTGAAGTATTATAATTCCATGGCACTGTGAGATATTTAAAATAATAGTTTCTCAGCAGTCTTCTGGGGGTGTCATATGTTCAATGATAATCACACAGAAG